TATCGTACTGTACGATACCTCCACTTCGTACAATACGATCCACGTCAGCAACGGATTGGGACGAATTAAAGCCGTTTGGTACGACATTATTGCGTATCGTACTGTACGATACCTCCACTTCGTACAATACGATCCACGTCAGCAACGGATTGGGACGAATTAAAGCCGTTTGGTACGACATTATTGCGTATCGTACTGTACGATACCTCCACTTCGTACAATACGATCCACGTCAGCAACGGATTGGGACGAATTAAAGCCGTTTGGTACGACATTATTGCGTATCGTACTGTACGATACCTCCACTTCGTACAATACGATCCACGTCAGCAACGGATTGGGACGAATTAAAGCCGTTTGGTACGACATTATTGCGTATCGTACTGTACGATACCTCCACTTCGTACAATACGATCCACGTCAGCAACGGATTGGGACGAATTAAAGCCGTTTGGTACGACATTATTGCGTATCGTACTGTACGATACCTCCACTTCGTACAATACGATCCACGTCAGCAACGGATTGGGACGAATTAAAGCCGTTTGGTACGACATTATTGCGTATCGTACTGTACGATACCTCCACTTCGTACAATACGATCCACGTCAGCAACGGATTGGGACGAATTAAAGCCGTTTGGTACGACATTATTGCGTATCGTACTGTACGATACCTCCACTTCGTACAATACGATCCACGTCAGCAACGGATTGGGACGAATTAAAGCCGTTTGGTACGACATTATTGCGTATCGTACTGTACGATACCTCCACTTCGTACAATACGATCCACGTCAGCAACGGATTGGGACGAATTAAAGCCGTTTGGTACGACATTATTGCGTATCGTACTGTACGATACCTCCACTTCGTACAATACGATCCACGTCAGCAACTGCCTTCTCCAGGAGGGAGAAAAACGAGAAGGTTCTCTGCCGTCGCCAGGAGGGCGAAAACAGAGTTTGGTCTTCCGCCACGCCGGGTTGGTGAAAGGGAGGTTTGTACAGGCTTCTCCGCCTTGCCAAGGGGGGCAAAAGGAGAACTTATTTTTTATAGTGAAAATCCCGGAGTGGAGGACTACGGGGAGTGGACGTAGGTCATATTTTGACCGAAACACTATAAAATTCTTGGTGTGTTCTTTCTTTATCATTGTTTACTTTTTGCTTGCACTTTAATCTTGTCATATCTATTGCATGTGGTTTTTTGTGAAAGCAAATTTGGATTTTGATAAAGCAAAATTGCATTGATCTTTATTTTAATATTTCAAAAAACAACAAAAATTAGAACTCTTGTTTAGGGTTAATTTTTTATTAAGAGAAAACTTTTTACAATTCACCCCCCCTCTTGTCGTTTAGTAATTTCATTACTGAGCTACTTATTTGTTGCTCTCTGATTAACATGGAAGAATTCTATATCTTTTGAGTCATATAAGATGCTCATTCCCTCCAACAACTAAGAAAAATTGGGTTGTTTTTTATCTCTTAATTCTTTTTTTTTTTTTTTTTTTTTTTTTTTTTTTTATTTTTTTTTTTTTTTTTTTTGTTATCTTCAAGAATCTTGCACTCATTTTTCTTTGTGCACTAGCATGGTGAGTAGCAATAATTTACTTGGTCATCATGTGTAAAGTTTTTGTGTTTGTTACTTTAAAAGAAATTGAAAATCATCTCCTATTGTTTTTGAATTGAGTTTATTTTTTTAGAAAATATAACAAGTATTTAAACAATACAAAGCATTAAATTATGTAATGATTGTATTTACATTACCTTTATGTTCTAATTTACTGAAGTTGTATGGCCCCATTTATAAGATTTGTCTCTTTGAGAAATGTAGAAGGAATGTTGCTTTTCACATTTTGAGTTAATTACAAATGTTCATCCCTTACCAAAACCGATAAAAAAAAAAGAGATGTCATGTTTCTTTTCTAGTCACCTTTAGGGAACTTGTACTCATTTCTCTATAGAGCACCACATAAAGAGAAATAGTAGGTGACATCAACTCACAGTATAAATATGTTTGCAACCATATAAGAAATAGAAAATTTTATTGAGCTTTCTCTGTATTTATATTGAGCTAAGTTTTCTTCTAATTTAGAACATATCACAAACATGAACAAACTAGAGCATCAAATGTGATAATGATGTATGTTCATGGGCTCATTCGTAAGAATTGGTATCTGCCTTTTTTATTATGCAGATGCAAGGTCAATTACCTCATTTCATTCATATTTAGAACGAAAACAAAAAAAAAAACTAGCTTTGAGATGATTTTTATGATGCTTAATGGAAAAGGTTATCACTTCAAGAGTAAGCTTAAATTATTTCATCTGACGGAGGTTGTTAGATTCACTGTTCATTCTAGTTATGATAGATTGGATTTATGAAACATGGTGTGTTAAATTGTCATGCCATGATCCAAAAAGCTCCTGCAATTCTTTTAAATCAATATTAACAATAAACTTGAAACCTAGTGAAAATAATGTTTCTTATATTTTTGCTCGTCTTTGTCTGTTAACTTTCTTTCTTCTTTGATCTCCTCTAACAATCAACCTTACCATCATCGTCATTAGCCTTTTCCCAAGCATAGAAATTGGAAACCTGCCGAAAAGAGAAGAGAGAATTTGAATTTTATGTCTATTTTATTGACAACCTTACACCTTTATATATACAAAAAAATTCTATGTTACATTAGGTAACTTCTTTCTTTAAAAAAAAAAACTTATATATTAATACTTGATATATTATCATGATAGAATACACAAGTATTAACCAAGCTTTATATACATTCATAAATGGGAAGAAGGAATTACCATAGCTTGTGTGTGATGCCTTGAAAGGCGATACCATCTCAACCCTATGGGATCTCTTCACTATTGTCAAGCTTGACTTTTCAACACTCCTTAAGCTGAAGAGTATATTCTCTAAGGCTAACTCAATGTGATATGTTAAAATATACTCCTTGTGTGCTTGAATATATATAATACATAGAAATCCACTTACTATTTTTTCCTTAATAAAGTGCCAATTAATTTCTGTGTTGTTCTATCATTTGGGATTGCATTGTGTTCAACGTTGATGGTTAATTTGTTGGCTTAATATAACTTCATGAAATCTTCAATTTTATTCCCAAATTATTTAGAATGATTTAATTCTAAAGAATTCATAAATTCCTTAAGTCATTGCTCGAAATGCAGTTTCAAAACTGGATCTAGAGACTACTAACTGCTTTTTGCTTCTTGAAGGGATTTTTTTTTTTTTTTTTCAAAAGAAGGTGCAATAATAAGTAGTAGGTTTTTTTTATCTATTAGGGGTCCTACCTAATCAGCATCTGTGTATTTTTTATCCCAAGTTTTCTATTTCTCTTTAGTAAGATTCTTCTTCATGATATCACTTTTAGGCATTGTTCAACTTGTAAATGCAATTTAGCATAAACCATATTTGGTCTTGTCTGACAAGATAGATAAGCTTCTGGATCAGCTTTTGGTACCTTCCTTTGTCAACATATGAGATTTTTTCTTGCTTCTCCAAGCTTATTATAATAAGCAACTGGAATTTTTAAAGGCTTGCATCACATCATACATGTTTTATTTACTAGCTCTAGGTTGCATTGTTGTTGTGAGATTGAATATCCTAGTTTTTGAGTGAGTTATCTTTATTCCACAAAAATATTTTAGTCTTTCCAAATCTTTCACTTCAAATTCTTTGGATCATTAATTTTTAGCTTCCTCATTCTTTTGAATCATCTGCTATTATATTAATGTCATCCACATAAATTATTAGAATTATGATTTTTCCTTATTCGATCTCTTTATGAATAAATTGTGATCTCCAAGACTTTGCTAGTAGTGGAAAGTTAGTCTCTTAATTTTGTACCTGGGTGCTATTTTGTATTGGTTGACCACTCATCATATTGATTCCACTCAAAATCTAACATTCCCACACCCTTTGCTACTTTCCTAAGCCTCTTGGGAAATCCCTTCAAGCATCTTTTGGTCATTCCAAAAGATCTAACATTAGGCCAAATCACTAATTGGTTGAGAAAAGGGTGCTTATTTTTTCTCCCGTTTCTGTTGCTCTTTATCATAACGATGAATGTTTTTTCTTTCCTACATGATGAAGAGCTTTCAAATGGGAACTACTCACCCATATCCATTGGCAATGTTTATATCTTCCAATTTATTTTTATGAATGATTTGCTCATTGTGGATAACATTGATTTGCCCTATTATATGTTCTATTAAAAGGAACCTTATGTTTCCAACAGCTTAACTTATCGCAAGTTCTCGAAAAGGCCTCTAGGCTCAAGCAAAATACATATAGAAAGCTATATTACTTAATTACCTCTATTTTAGTCTATTCCTTTTAAAGAGAAGGAATGGAAGGCTTTTTAATAATAATTTTACCTCCCTCACTAACAATATTGCAAGTTCCTAGTTGCCCATATGTTTAAATTTAAGGAGGTGAATGACTAGTTGATTTTCGTAACTTAGTGTCATGAGAAGACAAAGGATCGATGGTCGTCTCATGTCAATGAAGAAAATGGCTGTCGACTCCATTCCCATGTGAGAAGACGAAAGGAATTTCACTCCTATAAATTAGTATAAGATGAGGGGAAATCAAAGAGGAAGATCAAAGGGGAGGATTGGAGAGCAGGGTTGTGTGGTAACGGTAAGATTGAGCAAGGGTTGCATGCACATGAGGGTTTTGTAGCCACGGAGATATGAAGAGGTAGAGTGCATGTGAAGTTTAATGAAATTGAGTTGAACAAACAAGCTTTACAACGTTAGGAAGGAAATTTTAAGTTGTTTATAATAATTTCTAATATTATTTTATATATCAAGAGGTTTACAACAAACTAAATTAGGATTTTGAGTAAATAAATTATTATCTAAATTTATATTAAATATCATTAATAAAAATAATATATTTAATATTATTTTTAGTTATCAATTTTCTTTTAAACTTTTAAGAAATAAAGGTTAAATAATTTTGTATATTTAATTACTTGAAATAGAGAATACTTTGATAATTTAAAAACTATGGCGATGAGAACGTTTTATACGCAATCACAGTTTTAAGCAAACGACAACAGAGTAGATATTTAAGTTAATTGTTTAGTTATCTGAATTATAGGTGTGTGTGTATATATATATGTAGAGAGAGAGAGAGAGAGAGAGAGAGAGATAATTTACTTAACTAATTTTAGTTATATAAAGAATAAATTAGATTTATTAGGTAATAAATTAGATTTATTAGGTAATAAATTAGTTTTATGGGAGGAAATTTTAATTGCTTGAAGTAGAGAATACTTTTGATAATTTATAAACTATGACGACTATTTTTTTTTTTTTTTTCAAGCTAATAAACTATGACGACTAGAACGTCTTCTATGGAATAATGTGTTAAGCGAAAGACGATGTATATTAAATGAATTGTTAAGTTATTTGAATTAGAGGTGAGTATTCTTTTTTTTTTTAATGGTAATAACATTTATTTTTATAAATCTCTTATACATGTATTATTGATATTTACTCATAATTTAATTTTACCATTATTCATGATTATCGCTATTATAGACCGTTCATATTGCAATGAATGATATGAATTTTTTATCATATTATAGCCTTAATGAGAAAAATTGTCAAATTAATCTCTATATCATGAAAGTATTTTCTTTATATTATTCGATAGTATAAAATGTACAAACCTGTAAATAAACCATAGTGTTTTCATGTTTAATTAATTAATGCACTTTACTTATTTCTTCTATATAACTTAAGTGTACAAATAAAATAACTATTTTACCTTTCTTTTATTTTCATAGCTTTGTCAATTAGAGGAAGAAATTACAAAATATCATTTAAAAAAAAAATTGGATTTCATTTTTCAAATTAGAACTTAATAGAAATTAGTTGCTCACAAAATGAATGCATTTAATTTATTCTGCATATTATGATTCTATTAAATTTTTTGTTATATTTGAATAAATGATTATGTCATTATTATGTAAATTATATAAATTTTTTAATATAATTAATATTTATTACATCATCTAGTTCAATCTCAATTGAACTATTCTTAGCTCGTTGTCCGGTCTGATTTTTACAATATTGCTTATAAATACATATTTCACTTTTTACGAAATGAGACCTCTATTTTATAAGACATGCCTCACACCTTATATATCTTATAATTCCAATACATATGCCCATATTGGCACCACCATATCCTCCCTAACACCTATCAATATTTATTTCACTTTATGAAATGTGTTCTTCCTAATATCCTCGTTTTTTTATTACTAATTACTGAAATTTTTTTTTACTTCCCAAGATTTGAAAAAACCATACAACGTACCCACACTTTTTAAAACTATAAAATTTAAAACTCCATGCTCTCAATGCATCTACAATAATGATCCAAAATTAAGCTTGACTTGCTTCTCAAGAAATATGTTTGACAAATAGCAACAGCTCTTGCCAAGATAGCATGATGCACTGAACAAAACATAACTAATAACTAAAAAATCCAAATTTCTAATGCCAAAAAGTTCATCTTTTAACCTTATTTTTTTTTTTTTTTTTCATAATGTTATGACTTAACAGTAGTAAAGCTATCAAAAATAACTTATCAACATTCAGCTTTTCTATATAATTTGGAACAACGGAAACTCGACCAAAAAGCATTCTTAAATCATGTAAGGCTTCCTTTGGAACGGCTTTCTTGCTGCTTCTAAAAACTGTTTTAAGAAACAGTAAAAAAGTCATCCCAAACGCAACCTCAAAATTCCGGTGTGCCGACCGATGTCTACGGTTTTCTTGCAGCGATTAGATGCTAATGATAAATGCAATGAAAACTAAAATAACCGCAAGAGTAACCGGAATCTGAATAAACATTATGATAATAATCCCAGGGAAGATATTTAATAAAAAATGAATACATTATAAAAAATTACTGAATTATATAACAAAAATAAAATCAGTTAATCAATAGCAAGATTCAATCCAAAAACAAAGATATTAGAAAATGTTGTAAATGCAGATAAACACAAAATAATGGAAGAAAATTGAATCTCAGCTGAATAAGAGAAATTCACATTTCTGGAATTCAAGAACAAATCTTTATTCCATGAGTCATTGCCAAATTTTCAATTCTTCTGTTCAGAGGGCATCCATTTATAATAGATGAAAACCTAACCAACGAAAATTTCCACAGAATCTGGAATTATAAATTACTCAATAACTTACAATATATTCATCAATTAGGCTAATTGGCACCTATATTAGTATCGTTTCTCACTACTAGTGTTTCAATATTTTTATTATCTTTTAATAAAACTTTCTGGGGGTATTTATCACCTTATTAATTCCTTATAAAAAGCATAACAATGTATTCCATTTATCTCTCAATATGCAATGCAATTATTAGCTTCCAACTAGTTTTTTTCTTTTACATTGGAGATGAATTCATAGCGTCGCTGTAATCACTCACTCACTGGATGTTCAGTTGGTCACATGTCTATTTGCATTGCATCAAAATCCTTCAACAAATAAAGAACCTGCTTTATTCCACAGATTAGGAGTGTAGAACTAATTTTGGAATCGAAGTTTGGCCACTTTTGACTTTTTCTATGGAAGAATCATTTGACTTACTCTACAAATAATTAAACTATTCTTACTGCTGTCCTTATAAGTGAAGGTTTGCTGCTACTAGTTCTATCTCAAAAACAGCATGGCCACTTCTCATTTCCTTGATATCTGGGGCTGGATTAATAACCTTCCTTCCATCACCCTATGGACTACAAACACGAAGTCTCTCTGTATTTGCTCCTCTAGATCAACAAGCCCCTCCATGAATCTCCTAGTCACAAAAATCACTCCAAATCAAAGCATTGGTGTCATTTTCTCCATTTATGTCGATTTCCGGATCCCAATCTCTCTTTGGTCCTCCAACTTGTTAGCCTTCAAATCCAAAAACCGACAAAACCTAGAAGAGATTCGAAGCGATCTCTTTTTTGATTTGGTTAACAGTGTCCTCAAGTATGACCCCTGCAAGAAATCTTCACCAAGATTTCTAGAACTACGAGAAGAGTTTGACGACACCTTCAATTTTGTATTTATCACACTAGCATTCTTAGTTTGCATCTATGAAGCTCCTCAAGATATCCGAGGGGGATGCCTTGACACTCTAAGGCTTCAATTAACGACTCCAAGAGCTCGAGAGGCATCGAAGCTGCTCATGAAAGCTCTTGGGTCCAACCTTGAGGAGAAATGGATGAGATCATTGAACCTCGCTATAACTAATCAGATAGTCGAGCTTAGAGCCACAAATCACTCATTCAAAACACCTTCACCATTGTTTTCATATGCTTTTTCTACAGTTGGGCTATGGAAAGTGCAGTGCTACTGCCCCATAATAGCCATGAAATTGGAAACTACAAGCTCCAGGATCGCAGATGACCGCTTGTTATTCTCTCTCAACAACCAACAACTTGAGGCTGTGATTCAGCTTGCCTACATGGTCACGTATAGCAAAAGTTGGATAGATGTAGTGGTCAGCATAGACAATATAAGGTAGAATGAAATACAATTTGCCCAATAATTGTTAACACATAATAGAAAAATGTATAAGTATACTGCACCTAACTAGCATTTTTCATATGGCAGGTGTGATGTGAATCCGCTAGTTCCTGAAACACTATTAAATGAACGAGGGTATGGCTCTCAAGAGAAGCACTTCCCGTCTCGAATATCGCTGCAGCTCACTCCGACGGTCCAGAATGAAATACTCTCAGTATCTGTAACAAAATCATCGGAAAACCCAACCCGAGAAGTGGGAATAGAGAAATCCATTGAAGGTGGTTTTGACCCTCCCAATTCATATATGGGCATCACAGCTACAGCATCTGAGTCTGTAACTATCAGCATTAAGCCATGGAAGTTTGAACAATCAGTGTTTGGCGACACTGCAAACTTGAATTGGTTTCTTCATGATGGGGTGAATGGAAGGGAAGTCTCCTCTTCCAAGCCATCAAAGCTCGCGCTTCTCCAACCCAAAGCATGGTTTAGAGATCGCTACTCAAGCGCTTACAGGCCCTTCACAAAACAAGGAGGTGTAATTTTTGCGGGAGATGAGTATGGAGAGAGTGTGAGATGGAGAATTTGTCAAAATGCAATGGGGAAAAACATTGAGTGGGAAATCAAAGGCGAGATTTGGCTAACCTATTGGCCCAACAAACAGAGAACATTTCATAGTGAAACTAAAAAGTTGGAGTTTAAGGAGCTCCTTGATCTTTCACTTGTCAAAGCATAGCAGACAAAAATCATGTATATTTAGTAACTAATTTGTGCCTCCTTATCATATATTTCTGTTTAAATCTGCATATTATGATCTAAAATGTATCTCACAAGTTAAATGTAAGTCTTTCAAAATTAATAAGCTGGCACAACAATAGCATGATCATTATTAATACCAAGTTTTTTTTTTTTTTTTTACAGACACAAACTATGTAACATCTTGACTCCAACTTATCATTATCACAGACATACTAGAAGCACAAATTGTCTATCAATGACTCATCTTATAATAGCATTTCTATCTAATATTATACATTGTTTAAAGAACCTAAATCTATTTTTCACTATTTTCTCTTCATGAAATATTGCTCTCATCTTCCCTCCAATTTAATCATTTTCCAATCCAACCTTACTAAAATTCTCGTTTTCTAATGAACCGGTTATGAGAGTAGATGTATTAGATTTGGCCTATGTTAAGAAAGATAGAGGTAGATCTAAAAAATTTTGGTTAGGAAATATTATAAAAGACTTTTTTTTATTAGATTGAAATGAGAATTCAACTCATAATAGGATAATGGAGAAAAAGGATTCTTTTACATTTTAATACAGCTTTATGCTGGTAATTATCACCTGATCCCTTTACAAAGTATAACAAGGCTCAAGCAATCATTTTATCTCTCAATGTAAACTGAAATTATTAGCTTCCGACTAATATTTTCTCAAGTGTTGGGGATGAATTAATAGCCTCCCTTATATCACTCACTGGCTGTTCATTTGGTCACATGTCTAATTGCATTATCACTGCACTTCATCAAAATCCTCCACACAAATAAAGATTCTACTTTATTCCAGAGCTTAGGAGTGGGGGTGTAGAACTGACTTTGGAATCAAAGTTCGGCCACTTTTGACTTGTTCTATGGAAGAACCAATTTATTTAATCCACAAATAATTATAACTCTTTATGATGCTGTCATTCCACGCAAAGGTTAGCTGCTACTAGTTCTATCTCAAATTTCACGGCCTCTTATAATTTCCTTAATACATGGGGCTGGATTAATAACCTTCCTCCCATCACTCTATGGAATACAAACCCCAAATCTCTCTGCATTTGCTCCCCTAGATAAACAAGCCTCTCCATCAATCTCCTAGTCAATAAAATCCCGTAAAATCAAAGCATCTGTGTCATTTTTTTCTATTTATGTTGATTTTTGGATCTCGATCTCTCTTTGGTTCTCAAACTCATTCGCCTTTAAACACAAAAGCTGACCAAGCTTAGAAGAATTGCATTGATCTCTTTTTCGATTAGGCTGACAATAACCTCATACATGGCCTCTATAAGAAATCTTCACCAAGATTTCCTATACCCAAAGAAAAGTTTGACAACATCTTAATTTAGCAATTCTCATGCCAGAAAACTTATTTTGAATCTAAAGGCTCCTTAAGACATCTGAGGGGGGTGCAATACTCCTAAGGCTTTTAAGTAATGACCCTAATTTGCATCTACAAAGCTTCTCAAGATAACTTCATTGCAATCTGAAAATATTTAACAAAGACAAATCAAAAGATAATTTCATTGCAATCTGAAAATATTTACACAGTTGTTCTATGGAAAAATTACATAACACTCATCCTCCATCATAACTTGAGCTATTGAGGACATCCAAATTCTCATAGGATGGTGTTCGACACTGGTATGTATCAATCCGGCATCCTTTTTGGTCATTTCTAGATGCAAATGTTAAGTTCTACCTCCTAGTCATCTTCATCTTCTTCTCCTTAATGTTGTTGTATGAAGTGCTATTAACCAAAAAGATAATCAGTATAGGATAGAAAAAATGTGAACACGGATGATGCCCCTAAAGTATTTTGTTGCACCGGCATGGGTTATTATATAATCACAGTAAGAAAATCTGCTTTGTTGTGAGATAACTATACCTCTTTCATGTAATCCCATCCAAGATTGAAATATGAGCCCTTGATCATGGGATTAGCCAAAAGTAAAAATTAAAGCTTCTCTTGATAGTCCTAACAGATCATTTGATGTAGCATGAAGGCTTGCCCCTATCTCATCTTTAACATCATCTACAAATTCTCTAATACTATCCAAGTGCATCATATTTCATAACTATTAGATCTCTGAACCAAATATATTAACGAAAAACATCATTTCGCTTGCATCTCATCTATCTCCATCATAGAATGGTTAGAATAAGTTCTCCATTTGTTATATGGTCTCTTGCTATAATTAGTTCAGTAGCTTTTTTGTGTAAACTTATTCAAATCAGTTAAAGAACAAACATAATTACATAAAGTTGTTCTATTAGTAGCATAAGACAGGAAGTTGTAGGTAATTGTGACTCATATTAAAGCAGACAAAACGAGGCCCAAAATTTACCGTAAATAACAAGCAATTACACAATCATTATTATAGGAATATTTGGCATCCACATCATAAGCAAGCCAGTGATTCCACAGCTCTATGTACAACTAATTATAATCTAGCTGGTCAACATCTGTCTTTCCTCTACCATCTGCGTGATTAAGATTTGAATCTATTTGATCGACATCAATCTATGGTTGACCTTCAAATTGCACAATCACATTATCATGTAGGTGCAACTCAACATGCTTCAAAGACATTAATGGGACTCGTGATCGTCATATGCTACAACCCAGTGCAAATTTGGGATAGAACAAGAATCAAAGAATTTGAATATGGGGTTAGAAAACCTAGAATGCCTAGATGAACACATTAAGATCTATAGCAATAGCTGATTTGGATAGATAATTACATAATTCAATTGTTGTACCAAACTTTTCGTAGAATATCCAATTTTTTTATGATAGAATCATAGGGCTCAACGTTATGTACTAAAATTTCCTTAAACTTTTCATCATTCCATTTTCAATTTTCGTGAGATTTTTTTTAATACATCCAAAACATATTGAATGATGCAGATATCAATATAGATTTACATCCACGGAATTTTTCTAAGATGCCATTGGGGTTTAATACATGCAAAGTGGGATGACTAACATGCAATTGCTTCCCAAGCCCAAACCTACAATGGATGCAAACATCCAGGTATTAAGTTCCAATTATAGATGCAAAAGTACTATATCATTTTATGAGTGGATTGGAAACATTCTTAAATTCTCTATCAAAGGTAGATACTACAAATGAATTTTAGAGCCATATCATCTAATGAGTGGATTGAAAATTATTCTTAAATCCTCAACAACAGTAGATACTGCAAATGAATTTTAGAGCCAGACGTACTAAGCATTTGAAAGCAACCAATTATAAAGAAAATATAAGCAAGAACACATCGAAATAATTCCATCTTAGTCATATTCATATAAGAATCCCTTACGAGTGTCCATAGCAACCTACTTACTGGCATACAAGTCAACACAGATACATGTCTCATATTAAACTTAGACGTGAATTAATAGGATCATGATATACAGCTTCAGGAATTGAATGTTATACCAATAGGTCGTCGCAACGATCTAGCCATGTGGATAGTTGTAAACCGGTGCCAACAACATAGTAGTGAACAAGTGATTATCTATATGTCTAAACACCCATATGATGCATACATCTAGGAGAGTGACGATCATCTCACTGATGTGTAAATGAAAGGTGTTCACCATGATTATTAGTAGATTGCGACCTAAACATAGAAATTGAAGATACCGAAGATTGGTGATACGTGCGATCTCAAAGGGGTCAATGTCTTGCCATGAGCAAAAGGCTAATGGCCTCTAATATAGTTCCCTAATTTCAAACGAATAGTAACTTAGTTAAACCATGTTCATTGAAATATGAGATATGGTGAACTAGAGAAGTATTAAAGAATGGGTAGATGAGACTGCAGATGAGACAAAAGAAAACCTCAAACTACACAAGGTATGCTAGATGTAGAACCATCAAGAGCATCTCTAATTTTTAACTAATCCTAAAATCAATGACCATCTTTCAATGGATGGGATGGATCCACAAGAAAGGGGTGCAATCATTCCACAACAAAGAAAATTAGTATGGTTATCTAACAACTCCGCATCAAGGAAACAATCTAAAACATAGGTACCATCGATGTTCTCTTTTTTATTTCATTCCTACTTTTTGGTCAATAGCACTCTCCAGAACAACAATAAGAAGAACGAATGATGCTAACTAGGAAGAAGTTAATCATGGTCTTCGAGAAAAATAAAGACGATGACTAGATCGATACACATCAACAGCGCACAATGATATAGGCATTATCATTAGCTCAACATTATGATGGAGGTGGATTGGTGTTGTGTAATTTTTGCAAAAAAAACATATTCCTTAGACCTGTCAATTTCGGGTTACGGGTCGAACCCGACCCGACCCGTAACTGACCCGGCTTTATTCGGGTTCGGGTCAACCCGACCCGGTTTTATAAATGGGTCGGTTTTCGAAACCCGAACCCGACCCGCTTCGGGTTCGGGTCAACCCGACCCGACCCGTTTAGGGTTTAGGGTCACGCGAAGTCTCGGAGCGACGCGGGCAACAAGGTGCGGTGCAGCGAGCGACGCGGCAGCGCAGCATCGGGCGCACGGGACAGCGGCCAGCGGGGCAGGCGGGCAGCAGCGCGGCAGTGCGGGGCAGATGGCATCGCGGGCGGGGGCAGCGGGCGGGGGCAGCGAGCGGTGGTAGGAAAATTCAAAATTTTTTTTTAAAAAATGGGTTTTCGGGTTGACCTGGCAACCCGTCGGGTTAACCCGAACCCGACCCGCTTCGGGTTCGGGTCAACCCAAACTCGAAAATTCTGGGTCAGGTTCGGATCGGGTTTTCGGGTCGGGTCCAATATTGACAGGTCTAATATTCCTAAATTATATCTCCCTCATGTTCCTTCTAAAAACTCTATTGAACCAGAATCATGATTCACAAAGGACTAAAAACTTAATTGAATCATAATCATGATTCATAAAGCACTTTGGGACTCACCTGTGCAGCTATGCTTTTCCATGGGCGACTAACAGCCCCAAAAAAATGCTAAAAGATAGCTCGTGACCTTTAAATTGCAATTTTATGAACCATAACATGGTTCACAAATTAAGACTAAAAACATCCATAAGATTATCGCAGAATTTACAAATATAAGGTTCAATTATGCGCAATGGCAATTCTAGAAACATATTTAAGTGAGCACACTACAAATCAAACTTTATTATCCTAAATTCCATTCTAAATTACAGTAGTTATTGTGAATAAGTGAAAAATTAACAGCAACTCAAAAATGCCTCTACTGGTCTCACTAAGACCGTGATATCAATGTGTGTACAATATTGCATTCTACCTTATAGCTTTATGTCATGCTTCTTTTATTTTTAATATTTTTACTCAAATCACAAAAGTTTGATGGGATGTAAAGTCCCCAATCAAATAAAATAGGGAGAAAGGCCCATGCAAGTAAAGACAAGTGCCCCTAATGCCCCTGACTTGAATCAGCCCATGATTTAATACAACTTCAGTACAATTTTAGTGCAACTACTTTTCCTACTGCAGACATTTCACTCTCCATCAAACTTGAGTATCAATAAAAAAAATATGCAAGAAACTACAATGTATCTATATTTAAGGTGGGAAATAGAATTGGAAGGCAAAAAAAACCAATGCACAAGTAGAAAAGGCTTCAAAAAGGTATTAATAAATTTCAAAGTAAAATTAACAATACCATAGGAGCTATTTGGGATCACTTTTTTTTTTATATATTTTGATTTTTAATACTTTGGTACACTAAATATATATTTTTATTGAGGAAATTTGACTTTATATATTCAATGACTGCTCAATGGACTAAGTTACTCGAAATAGGTTTGAACATATCCAAATTCTGGTTTGAACCTATGACCTAATTAAGGAGTTTGCAATAGGAATAGAGAGTGAGAAGGAGAAGAGTATTTAGCGAGTCCTTGGCGGAATTTCACCAAGGGTATTTTGCAATAGAATTTTGCCAAAGATATTTTGCAATGGAAGTTTGTGGAAGGTATTTTGCAATGAGAATTCATCATAGGGTGTCAACGACACCCGGTGTTTTTTGACGAGAGTTCTCATAAGGCATCAATGGGATTTGCGAGTGTGAAGGAGAAGGTATTTCATGATGGGAGTTGGCCTATAGCATAGACTATTTTGCAACGAGAGCTCAATGATGCACTACTTGGAGCGGGAGTATGAAGGAGAAGGATATTTTGTGATGGGAGCTTGCCAAGGGCATCCAACGGCACAACCATTTAAAGCCTAGTCCACATGTACAAGAGGATGTAATTTCATCCAAAAAGAACTTTTAGGAATATTTCCCCAAGAAATAAAGAGTGGGCATATTTGTCCACTTTTGAGTATTAAGAGGCATATAAATAAAAATTCACCTTTATTTTTATTCAGTATAGAATAAAATGATTTTTGTAATGATAACAGCAATTACTGGCAGTCGACATTCAGTGGAAGTAGCAGCTGGATCTGATGGCTGCAATTAGCGGCCTATAGCTACCAATGGTGGCAATCATAGGTGGTGGTTTTAAGACACTGACACCTAGCGATTGAAATTTTTCTCTACATATTCTGACTCTTTGCAAACGTTCTGAACCGAATCATAAAATACAGAGGGTTGATGGTAAGGCTGAGAAATCTAATCAAACAACAAGGAGGTGAAAGCCCAAGCCAATGGGAGCAGCACATGCCCTGTCCCAAATCTCCCATTCAAGCAACTGACATCAGGACAACAAAAATAATTGAAAGACTAACATAATGCAGTTAATTTACCTTCTGCAAACTTTGAGCATTGCTCAAATGGAAAACGCTTAAAAAAGGTAGCAATAAAAGCCATGTTTTAAGGTAGCTGGTAAAGTTAACAGCAACATAGAGAAACATTTGCATACAGCATGATAACAAGCAAGCAAACAAAATATATATAACAGTAGCTTTCAAGCATTTAGGACCAAATCACTGCTAATCACTCAGCTGGACATTCTAGAAAGTAGATCCATTCCACCCAAATGCTGAACCCTGCATAAAAAAAATTGAACTATGGTAAACTTTAGTATGAAGGAAACACCAATTTATAAAATGTTTGTACAGATGAAGTATAGCACTGACAAACTATTTCTATGGATACTAAAATGATATTTGATCACAAAGCTAGGAGCACTGCAGGATTATAGATAGTAAATAGCAATTTACATGATCTATTGCTGGTGTGTAGCATGTAAACACTGTTCAAATTCCTGAGTTTGATGAGCCTAACAATAAGCAGAATTGCAATGAGAAAACTAAAGACTGGATACAAGGCATCATTACATTGCCTTTAGGGGTAGAAATGCTTGCCTTTGAATCATAAAACTTCAGAAAGTAACGTGACTTGGGAACAGACAACTTGGTCTCAAGAATTGTGGCAATAGCAGCACTTAATTTCTTGTTCACATCAGGATTCAATCCTCCAATAGAAACTAGTTCACCATATGCAGCAGGCTCCTCGGTTCCACCAAATGATATAGGCACTGATCCCTTCAAAACTATCATTACATACTGTAAAAGAAGAAATCCCATAAGCAAGCTTCAAACATACTGGATAAGAACTTTGTGCAACACTATGCAAGTATATGTTAATAAAGGACAAATAACATAACAGGGAAAAACAAGATTCACAATGCCATGCATAATAAATCACTCAAAGGAGAAACTCACACAATATCAATAATATTACCCCTAGTTTCTAAAATTACTTCAAATGCATTGAAATTGCAGGCCAACAAAGGAACTTGATGGACCGGTCCAGAGTCAGTCAAGCCAGTCCCGCCTAGACTGGCTACTTTCTACAGCAGGCGAAAAGCCCACCTGCATTAGGTTTCATGCTTGTGTTTGCTGAAAGGTGGGGCCCAATGAGCTATTTCAAAGGGGTGATCGGGGAGAATTAGGAGGGATTAATATGAATGGGCTGTTTTGGGATTTGCATTATTTTTTGTTTATCTTAGGTTAGTTTTCATATTTATGTTTGTTGAAATTAGGTTTTCGTAAGTCGTGAGTGCTCTAGCCGGCGGCTAGGGATTTGGGAGAGTCGGATCTTCCTCTCAAATTAAAGATCCAACTGTATCTTGCTATTTTCTTTCATAATACTTGCAATAAAAAATTTTGTGGTGTTTTTCTTCTCAAATTCTTCTTGTTGTTCATTGATTTGGTGGGAATTGCTTCTACTTCCTATGAAATTGGTATCAAAGCGGTGTCTTGGGCTGAAATAGAAGTCTTCCTCGTTGATTTCTGCTACATTTCCTCTCCGATCTTGTTGTTTTTGATGTTTGAAGACCAGATTCATGTTTTTTGCTACTTGGAGCATATAGATCTGGATACGTATGGCGTGAAAAAAGGCAGAAGTGTTGGAAGGGGGAGATTGGATAATTAAAATTTCAAATTTCAAATTTTCAAACACAAATTTTAACAGTCCATGAGAAGATCGATGGGAAATTTGCCATCATGGAAGAGATAAAGAAAAAATTCCTCTGGGGCCAAACCAAAATGGTGTCATCGGAGGTGAGAGAAGCCGCCAGCAACCAAGGGAGCGGGGAAAATCCCTAATCCGATAAGGAGAGGAGAAGAACAAGAGTTGGTGATCTAAAAAATAATAATATATAAAAAAGAAGAGGTGGAAATCTTGGATAGAGAAGAGAGAATACCTCGTCTAGAACCCATTCCTAGGGAGGAGATAGGTAAAAGGTATGGGGAGAGGAGTGAGAGGGTTGGGTAAGAACGAAGGGGTGCTGAATTTGAAAGAAGATAAGCAAATTATGGCCGAAGGGATGCTGGTTTCGAAAGGATTAGGGGGAGTTTGACGATGGGTTTGGGTACGAGCATGGAAAGGATGATCGGGACACTTGGGGAATGGGAAGTTATGAAGGAATCAGGGGAAGCAGAGAGAACATAGATTGAGGAAGCAAAAAATGCATGTTTTTTATGGAGAGAATGCATATAGGTGGATCTATAAGGTGGAGAGATATTTTGTCGTCAATGGGTTAACAGAAGAGAGACTGATGGCAACTGGCCTGTGCTTGGAGGGGAAGGCATTGACATATTTCCAGTTGAGAGACATGAGGCAGCCCATACAAAGCTGGAGAGAGTTCAAGGACTGACTGTTGAGACGTTTTCGAACCAGCAGGGGAGTGGACTTCCATGAGCAGTTCTTCACTATGATGCAGGAGGATCAGTGGTGGAGTATCGTGAGAGATTTGAATACTTGGATAGCCGACGGGATTAGATTGGAGGAGGGGAGAGACATCACTCTTTCAGTAAAGCCGCTTATACAATAGTTCAGTGAGATCTTTCAACCACCTCAAGAATTTTCACCACCAAGGGAGTAGAAGCACACCATGACCTTGAGGGGGTAGAAGCACGCCACCACCTTGAGAGGAGGGGGGGCAAGAATGATGAGATTAAGAAGCTGATCCGTGAGATGTTGGAGGTAGGGATCATCAGACAGAGCGTGAGCCCTATTTCTAGCACAATTTTATTAGTTAAGAAGAAGGATGAGACTTGGAGATTCTGTGTGGACTACCAAGCCCTGAATAAGGAGACTGTGCCAAACAAGTTTTCAATGCTAGCGATAGATGAGTTGTTGGATGAGCTATGTTGAGCTGCGGTATTCACGAAGATGTATCTGAAGTCTGGGTACTATCAGATTGGGATGAGAGAGGAGGATATCCCAAAGGCTGCATTTAGGACACATGAGGGACACTAAGAGTTCTTATTAATGTCGTTTGGGTGTTATAAGAGCATTAGCTGCGAGCCAACCTGAAGAAGTGTTACTTTGTGGAGTACTTAAGGCACATGGTATCTCAGGAGGGGATGGTTGCTGATCAGGTCAATATTGAGGCTATGTTAAAATGGCCGCTACCTAGGACTCTGAAGGAGTTGAGGGATTTTCTAGGGTTGACTAGGTATTACAGGAGGTTTGTGAGTGGATACAGCACTATAGCGTGGCCACTGACTGGGCAGCTGAAGAAGGATAGTTTTATGTGAGGCGAGGAAGCTACCTCTGCCTTTGAGAGATTGAAGAAGGCCATGACCACAATACCTATCCTGGCCCTACTAGATTTCAGCTAAGTTTTTATGGTGGAGACTAGCACATCAGGTTATGAATTAGGGACAACGCTCATACAGAATCACAGGCTAATAGCTTACTTTAGCTAGGTGTTGACACCAGAGCTAGGTTGAAGTCATTCTATGAGAGGGGGTTGATGAACATTATGTTAACTATTTAGAAGTGGCGGCTTTACTTGCTGGGCTGACATTTCATCGTCAGGACAGACCAGAAGAGTTTGAAGTACCAATTAGAGCAGATAATGGTGACCGAGGAGCATTAGAGATGGTTGTTCAAGTTGTTGGGATATTATTTCGAGATCCAATATAGGCTAAGGCTAAGAACAAAGCGAATGATGTTTATCCAGATGTGTGGGGGAGGTTCAGGAGTTACCCATTTCGGTATAACTGATATTGGATTAGGGGGCTATTAAGGAGGAGAATGTGCAAGACGAGGAGATGGGGGGATTAGGGCAAATCTGCTGAGGGATGAGAGTAGCCACCCGAGCTATTTCCCAGAGGGGAGAGATTATTATACCAAGGGAGATTTGTGTTGCCACATACCTAGGTCCATATTCCTCACCTTTTGCAGGAGTTTCACAGGAGCATTGTTAGGGGTCATTCATGGGTGCAAAAGACGTACAAGAAGTTGGCATCATAGTTAAATTGGAAGAGGATGCATAAGGATATAGATAAGATGGTAGCTAGATGTGAGGTATGTTTGAGCCATAAATATATGGCCATGGCTCCGGGAGAATTATTGCAACCTCTAGCTCTCCCAAATAGAGTGTGGGAGATCACTATGGATTTTATAAACGAGTTACCTAGATCTGAGGGTTTATAGTGATTTTGATGTTGGTGGATAGATTGAGCAAGTATGCTCATTTTATTCTGATCCTTATGAGATACTAGAGAGGATTAAAGCACATGACATTTTCTTTTATTATATATTACTATGCACATGATATTTCATTTTCCAATGTAATTAATTTTTTCCATGATACTCTCTATTTGCCAATCTAATTGTTTTTCATTAACCTTCATGTATAATGAAGTTAAAAAATCTTTTACTCTAATTATATGATATTAGGCTTTTTAAAGATGTTTTTGGCTTGTATTATTGTGATGTAATAAATTATTCATGATTTTCTTTTTATCATTATTTAAAATAGCACATGTTGAGCCATTAGTCATGCACTATAGTTTCAATGGAACCTTACACCATATTGCGCACCATTCATTATTAGAAAGAATAATAAGATATTTCACCAAAAACAAAGCTTTTTCACATAAATATAAAGTAGTTCCCCATCAGCCATATTCCATGTGAAACATCATATCTAGGTGAAATATCTTTTTCTTCTTTTTGTTTGAGACACATTATATATGGGAGAAGTATAGGATATCTATATGAAATAGTTAATTGCAGGAAAATTTTTAGGATGTAATGTTAATTGAAATTAGGAGGAAAAGTCAAGCATCATAATAATTTTAAAAGGAGAAGATACCTAAATACATATTTTAGAATAAGTAAAACAGAATTAAGTAGCATTGAATATGTGAAATTGTTTGTCGAAGCCGCTTGAATACGCAAAATGATTTGTCAAATCAAGTCTATTGCGAGAAGCCATTTCATGCAATCGACACGCTAAACTGTTCATCGAAGCATCCGATGTTGTTCTTCCACAAGTAACCTACTAGCGCGCCAATTTTGTTCACAAATTAGGTAGGTTATTGTGACGGCACATGCAAATTCATCTCGCTAGTAGATTTTTTGATCCAAAGCACATTTAGTGCTGCAAATTTATTGATCCAAAGCAGATATGGAATTATTTGTGGCCGCCAATTGTATACTATTATTAATTTTTCAATTTTCTAAATAAAATTATTTTCTTACTTTTTTGTTTTATTGCCTAATTTAATATTTCCTTCAGTTGCTATAAATAAGACATCAACTGAAGAACTACTTCAAGCTCTCATCTCCAAAGCAAATGAGAAAGCAAGGGAGTTGATGATCAAATTTGAGCAGAAAAGCTGCTGCATTTTAAAGGTAAGCAATTTAATATCGAGTTACTCTAATGGCATTATCTATTTTTTAATATATATATATATATATATATATGTCATTTAACATATACTCCTATGAATTCTAAAATTTTTAAAATGTTATGATTAACTAAATTATTAAAATGCTAATTTAATTTAACTATTTAATATATAAATTGGATTTAATGTATTATATAAAACCTAAACATTAAATATTTAACATAGTAGATATTATATTAACTATAAAAATAGATTATATCCCATTAAATAGGATGTTCCTAACTTAAGTAGGTTTATAATATTTAATATGTAATATTTAAAATTAAATATTATATTTAATATTATATTTATTATATCCAACAAATATGCATTTGAGTGCTCTTCGATCTAATTTTTCACTATTCTGACTGTGT